TTTCTTGATACCAGTAAAGTTGAGAAAACGAAAAAACGATTGCAGACTTCGCTTTTTCCTAGGCTGGTCCGAAGCTGGCCCGAAGCTGTGGGGACACCTTCTGGTATGCATGGAGGCTGAAACATAAAGCAGGGAAAGGTACTGGCGGTTTTAAGGTATCCAGGAGCACACAGCCAAAATGCAGTGTCCTGCCAACGGAACTAGCTCAGTTGGTACACCAATGAACTGTTGAACTACCAGACCCAAGCTCAAATCCCGCAGCCATCAGATGAACAGAAGAACATAATTCTGAATAACCTGGGCCATGTCAGTTCAATGATAATATCTCAAGACCGTCGCTCTCTTAAAACATTGGAAAAAAAGAAATGCAGTGTCCAGGGGCCAAGTTCTGCTAGCGGCGAATCTGGACGTGTTTGTGTAGATGTGCAAAAAATAGGGCGGATTTTCCTCAACTGCATCTCTCGGCAACCACGTCCAGATTCGGGGGTTGAGGAAACTCTGTGCTGGTAGTGGGAGTTGGCCCAGGTGAAAGACAATTTTGGGCGTACTTGTGGTTCAAACCACCAGCATGTTTCCAGCCATTTTTTTGAAATCGCAGCTTGCATGCAGCCGCAACTTTTGGGCTGGCCGCCAGAGCAAAATGGCTGGCAGCATCGCCCAAAAGGAGGCCCAAGCTCGTTCTTTTTTTTTGGGGGCATGCGCAGGGCGTTTCCAGCCCCGGAGAAAAGTACTTGTAGTTGAAGCAGCCAGTACACGGCCCCAACCATGCAAGATTTCTTGGTGTCTCACTCCTTAGATTTTGGAGGCTTGGGGCTACCGGACCACAATGACTGGCAGTGCCGGCCAGAATAGGAAAAAACTGCACCGCTGGCAGTTCGGCCAGGCTTGGCGCGCAGTGTGGAGCCACTAGTTCACACATGAGCTGGAGCTGACGAAGCTACCACCCTCCAAGGCTTGTGAACCTGCAACTGCGCCTTTTCAAAGTGGCCTACTGCTTTCGCTACCGGCTCAGGACCAAATGGAAATGTTCTTACCTCGTACATCAGTGAGAGCACTACTAAGGTAGTAAGGTTTGTGAAAGCTGTTGGTTTAAACCACCACTACCTCTGTCACTCTTGGGAAAAATGGGAAAACTGACTTTTTTTCCCACTTTTCCCAAACTTTTTGGGCGTTGGACGAGGCTCGGCAGTTGGGCCCTCAAGGCCGCTGAGAAAAACAAAAAGAAAAACAAAAGACCATGTCGGGGAAGGCTGTGCACCAAGTTGTACTCGCACCAAAACTCACATGCTCCTTTCTCTGTCTGGTTGCAGAACGTCATTCGTATCTCTTTACGAGTCCTCGTTCATTAAACTTCACAAGTAGTTGCATGATGAGGATGGTGTGGGCTTCAGGAGTGGGGTCCATTCCATTTTTCTTATTTTTTTAATAATCTTTTCCTCCTTAAATCATCCGAATGAACCCCTATAG